TTCAAGCAATTCTCCTGCCTCTGCCTTCCAAGTAGCCGGGATCACAGGTGTGTGCCACCAAACCTGGCTAATGTTTGTATTTTTAGTAGAAATGGGGTATCACCATGTTGGCCAGGCTGATCTTGAATCCTGGCCTTAGGTGATCCACCTGTCTTAGTCTCCCAAAGTGCTGGGAATACAGGCATGAATACAGGTGTGTTCGGCCATAAAGTTTATTTTCTTTCTTTTTTTTTTAATTAAAGTTCTGGGGTACGTGTGCAGATCATGCAGGATTGTTACATAGGTATACACGTGCCATGGTGGTTCGCTGCATCCATCCCCTGTCATCTACATTAGGTATTTCTCCTAATGCTATCCCTCCCCAATCCCCCTACCCCCTGTATCCCTCCCCTCACCCCCTCGCCCCCCAATAGGCCCCAATGTGTTATGTTCCCCTCCCTGTGTCCATGTGTTCTCATTGTTCAACTTCCACTTGTAAGTGAGAACATGCGGTGTTTGGTTTTCAGTTCTTGTGTCAGTTTGCTGAGAATGATGGTTTCCAGCTTCATCCATGTCCCTGCAAAGGATAGGAACTCATCTTTTTATGGCTGCATAGTATTCCATGGTGTATATGTGCCACATTTTCTTTATCCAGTCTATCATTGATGGACATTTGGGTTGGTTCCAGGTCTTTTCTATTGTAAACAGTGCTGCAGTGAACATACATGTGCATGTGTTTTTATAACAGAATGATTGATAATCCTTTGGGTATATACGCAGTAATGGGATTGCTGAGTCAAATGGAATTTCTATTTCTAGATCCTTGAGGAATCACCCCTCTGTCTTCCACAATGGTTAAACTAATTTACACTCCCACCAACAGGGTAAAAGCATGCACTATTTCTTCACATCCTTTCCAGCATCTGTTGTCTCCTGATTTTATAGATTGCCTTTCTAACTGGTGTGAGATGGTATCTCAATGTGGTTATTTGCATTTCTCTAATGACCACTGATGAGCTTTTTTCATATGTTTCTTGGCCACGTAAATGTCTTCTTTTGAGAAGTGTCTGTTCATATCCTTTGCCCGTTTTTTGATGGGGTTGGTTTTTTTCTTGTAAATTTGTTTAAGTTCTTTGTAGATTCTGAATATTAGCCCTTTGTCAGATGGATAGTTGGCAAAATTTTTTTCCCATTCTGTTGGTTGCTGGTTCACTCTAATGATTGTTTCTTTTGCTGTGCACAAGCTCTTCAGTTTAATTAGATCCCATTTGTCTATTTTGGCTTTTGTTGCCATTGCTTTTGGTGTTTTACTCATGAAGGACTTGCCTATGCCTATGTTCTGAATGGTATTGCCTAGGTTTTCTTCTAGGGTTTTTATGGTGTTAGGTCTTATTTTTTGCTGACTCACAGCTGCCAGTGTAGTGATGTAATTGTCATGGGATTCAGGAAGATGAATGGTGCCCTGCATGGTGATGTAATTGTCATGGGATTCAGGAAGATGGGAAAGGGAAGAAGAGCTTGGGGTCCTGCTTCTCTTTTTACATCTTATGTTTAAATCTTTAATCAATCTGGAGTTAATTTCTGTATAAGGTGTAAGGAAGGCATCCAGTTTCAGGTTTCTGCATATTGCTAGCCAGTTTCCCCAACACCATTTATTGAATAGGAAATCCTTTCCCATTGCCTGTTTTCATCAGGTTTGTTAGAGATCAGATAGTTGTAGATGTGTGATGTTACTTCTGAGGCCTCTGTTTTGTTCCATTGGGCTACATCTCTGTTTTGGTACCAATACCATTGCTGTTTTGATTACGGTAGCCTTGTAGTATAGTTTGAAGTCAGGTAGCATGATGCCTCTGCTTTGTTGTTGTTGTTGTTTTGCTTAGGATTGTCTTGTCTGTGCAGGCTCTTTTTTGGTTCCATATGAAGTTTAAGGTGGTTTTTTCCAGCTCTGTGAGGAAGGTCAGTGGTAGCTTGATAGGGATAGCATTGAATCTATAAATTACTTTGGGCAGTATGGCCATTTTCACAATATTGATTCTTTGTAACCATGAGCATGGAATGTTTTTCCATCTATTTGTGTCCTCTCTTATTTCCTTGAGCAGTGGTTTGTAGTTCTCCTTGAAGAGGTCCTTCACATCCCTTGTTAGTTGTATTCCTAGGTATTTTGTTCTCTTTGTAACAATTGTGAATGGGAGTTTGCTCATGATTTGGCTGTGGTCTGTTATTGCTGTATAGGATTTCTTGTGATTTCTGCACATTGATTTTGTATCCTGAGACTTTGCTGAGTTGCTTATGAGTTTCAGGAGAGTTTAGGCTGAGATGATGGGGTTTTCTAAATATACAACCATGTCATCTGCAAATAGAGACAATTTGACTTCCTCCTTTCCTATTTGAGTACCCTTTATTTCTTTTTCTTACCTGATTGCTCTGGATAGAACTTCCAATACTATATTGAGTAGGAGTGGTGAGAGAGGGCATCCTTGTCTAGTGCCAGATTTCAAAGGGAATGCTTCCAGTTTTTGCCCATTCAGTATGATATTGGCTGTGGGTTTGTCATGAATAGCTGTTATTGTTTTGAGACAAGTTCCTTTGATACCTAGTTTATTGAGAGTTTTTAGTATAAAGGGCTGTTGAATTTTGTCAAAGGCCTTCTCTGCATCTGTTGAGATAATCATGTGTTTTTTGTCTTTGGTAGATTTTATTTTCAAAAGAGACAAAAGTGACTTGTGCTCACATTTCCTTCACCCTAAAGTTCAGTCCTACATTGTGTTTGTGAGAGGAAGAGATAGAAATGCATTCATCGCAGCCCTGATGATTGTCGCCGCACTGACGCTCAGCAGTTGACCTGAACTTGATAGTGAAACTTAGCAGAGCAGTAGAAGAGGCATGCCCACAGGAAGCAAGGATGCTGAGGGCCACCAGGGCCCAAGCTGGAATTATAGATTGGCCAAGTGTCGCCTGAGCATCTCCTCCTCTGAGAAAATGCCCCGACCTGCTTTTTGCTTCCACTGTGACCTGCAGAGCTTCTGTCTTCCACCCTAGCATGCTTTCACTCTTATTTTCTCATGATTTTCTGTCTATTAGGTAGATGATTTTATATGCACCACAGATGTTTACTGAATGCATATATCAATAGAAGGCACTTATTATTTGCAATAGAAGGAAGGCACTGCACTAGGTTCTGGGATATAAGAACAAATAAGACATTGGCTCTGTCCTCGTGGCATTTCCTGGCTTGTGATGAAGACATGGAGGAAAACAGACATTTTACATTAATGTCTCATTTGACAAAAGAGGACACTGAGGCAGGTAACTCATTGGGGTCCTTAAGAGTCCCAGCTACACTGTTTATAACTCAGGGTCCTGATTCCCAGTCTAGCACACTTTCCACTGATCCATCTGCTTGGACCTTGTTTGAGACCCTACCTGCCTGAAGATCCTACGGTCTCCAGGAAGAGTTTATATGCACCGTCAGGATGGATGTGTTGATTTCATCACAGTTCTTGGCTTGGATGAGTCAAGTGGATGTGTAAGATCCTCCTTTTCTGATGCCTGCTGTTGGATAATCATAAGGATGAACAGCGCACGATAAAAGCTACTGTTCGGGGGGTGCCATATATACTTGAGATCCCAGCTACCAAGCAGATGCTCTGCTGACTCACAGCTGCCGGCGTAGCCAGCCTGCACGGTGATGTAATTGCTGTGGGATGCAGGAAGATGGGATAGGGAAGAAGAGCCTGGGGCCCTGCTTCTCGTGCCAGGATTCACTTGCCTGCTGCAACTTGCAGCCAAGGAAAGGATACTGAATGTCTGGGGCCAACATGTGGAAATGTTGTGGCTGAGGCCAACCTTATCTTTTCCATTTTCTAAAGTTTGGAAGGATTTCTGGCTCGTGCTAGCCTCTCATTGATTAAATGAGATAACGTATGTAGAGGCTTTGGCAAATAGTACATGGCCACTAAATGGTAACTGCTCTAATAGTAATAATTACAGTAAGAATGGCCTCAATTACCATAATAATAGAGCAATAATTATTTAATAGTCATAGTAATAATAAACATGATAATATAATCAGTGGTGTGGGAAGAGGAGTGCATTGGGAGCGGTCTCCCAGTGGGAAAGAGTTGTATCAGTGATGTAAGAAACTAAACAGCAGACTGTGTGAATGCACTCTACTTTCCCTACAATTTTTCTGGGAAGCTAAATCTGCTCTAAAAAGTAAAGTCCATTAATTTTTCTATTTTTTGAGATGGAGGCTCACTCTGTCGCCAGGCTGGAGTACACTGGTGCAATCTCAGCTCACTGCAACCTCCCCCTCCCAGGTTCAAGTAATTCTTCTGCCTCGACCTCCTGAGTAGCTGGGATTACTGGTGCGTGCCACCACTCCTGGGCAATTTTTGAATTTTTAGTAGAGATGGTTTTTCACCATATTGACCAGGCTGATCTCAAACTCCTGACCGCCTGCCTTCGCCTCCCAAAGTTCTGGGATTATAGGAATAAGCCATCACATCCAGCCAATTTTTTTTTTTTATAAGGAAAGAGAGAGAACAAAATCCCAGACAGATCATTAGTTGGTGTTTCAGTTCTCTAAAGACAATGCGTCTCCTTAGTGCCTGTATCAGGTGGACCCTTCTACCACCCAACCCTTGCTGTACCATTTTAAAATTGCCTCATTGGCTATGCAGATACTCCAATGAGTAACATGTTAATGAGGAAGTAAAGTTTGCTGGTAGGATGATAGCTCCAGTGTCTCTCTGTTCACCACTGGGTGTTGAATGCTGGCGAAACTGGCCTAGGACATGGCTGGGCACGGAAGCTGCAGGTCTTGTGCCCTCAGTGGCTCTCTCCATGGAGCTAAGCAGCCACACCATCTCCACTCAGCATGGTTGCAGAAAGTGTCTTGGCGGTAAGCAGCCCCTGGGAGGGTGCCCACCACACCTGTGCCTAGTGAGAGCTCTCCAAATCCAAAGACCAGGGCAAGTCTTGTCCCAACACTGCCAGTGGGTTGGCTTCCTTTCCTTTGCCTAATGCAAGGTTCTCTTTCCTCTGAGTAGGAAAATGCCCAGATCATCAGAGAAGTGGAAGTGGACAAGCTCTCCATGCTCTCCAGGGAGCAGGTGGAGGCCATCAAGCAGCTCTGGCAAGATCCGGGCATCCAGGAGTGTTACGACAGGAGGAGGGAGTACCAGCTGTCAGACTCTGCCAAATAGTGAGTACAGAGCCCAGCCTGGCTGCCCGCGGTGCTTTCAGGCAAGCTGGGCCACACTTCAAAGAAGCTTCTCACTGAATGATGCTAAAATGCAATGCACAGTGGCAGCGCTGCCTGCCTCCACTTTTCTGTATCTCTCCTGACCTCTTGGTGCCATCTCTCACCACCTCCCAAAGCTCTCGGTCACCCTTTGGACCGCAGACCTCTCATCCGGCCGACACCCACCTGTTCTTGCTGTGTGCTAAGCCTGTCGTTTTCAAAGACAGACTCCATCAAATTTGAGGTTCCTTAAGTGGGATCGATCTCCTTTGGAGTGCTGAAATGACCTGATGTAAACAAGGAATACACTTGCTTCTAGCATCTCCTTTCCTCCTGTCTATATCCCTCTGCCTTTCTGGTTTTCCCCATCAGAAGACAGCAGGTCCAATTGCCCTAAACTCTGAAGTCGAGTTTAGAGCAGCAGTGCCATTGGCCCATCGGCTGCTGATCTGGTGCTCCCCTCTAGTGGCCTAGATAGGAGGCTGCGCTCCCGGCACACACAGGAAGCTCAATCCTTTGTTCCTGGCCACTTGAAAAGGCGTTACACACTGGATTTTGGATAATACAGCTCAACTTTTAATTCGTTAATCAATGAAGGTAAAAAGATTTCTATTTAGATGGCCCAGCATGCAAACTGTCCCATAGACGTGACAGATTTTTACTTTCTTAGGCATTTCCTGTTCATATCTGTAATCCCAGGGACTTGGGAGGCAGAGGTGGGAGGATCGCTTGAAACCAGGAATCCAAGACTAGTCTGGGCAAGAGAGCGAGACCCCATCTCTGCAAAAAATACAAAAATTAGCTGGGCATGATGGCATGTGCCTGTAATTCCAGCTACTCGGGAGGCTGAGGCAGGAGGATCTCTTGAGCCTAGGAGGTTTAGGTTGCAGTGAGCCAGGATTGCACCACTGCACTACAGCCTGAGTGACAGAGTGAGACACTGTCTCAAAAAAAAAAATTAAAATAAGTAAGTAATATCCCAAGGCAATGTCTCCTTCAGTCTGGTCACTGGGCAAATAGTTTGATATGGGTCCTTCTTGAAGTGGCAATGACTCCTGCTTCTACAGCTCAACTCTTTCTCACCTGCCCCATATCACCTTCCATCCTCTGAGGGCTCAGAAACTCCTTCCTCGGACCTACCTCCTTCCCTTTGGGTGCCACTGTTGCCCTCTGAGCAGGCACTGGGCAGGAAAGGAAGCCAGAGGTGTCACCTCTTGTGATTTCAATGACCTTCCTTTGGTGTTTGTCCCAGGCTGAGAGTTGAATGTCATTAATCCAGGTTGGCACAACCAGTCAGATTACAGGAATGTTTAGGTGCAACAAAGCATCAAGGCAGGAAAATAAAGAAACCCCAATAAGGTGTTAGATCAGCATAGAGAGCTGGAAGAAAGAAAGTGCCAAAGAGGAGGGCCTGCCTTTGACAGCTTGAGGAGCCAGGAACAGGCACGACGTTCCTGAGCCATGCCCGAGGTGGTCTGGGTTACCTCCTCTGTGAAGGCCCTGGGGATTGGCTAGGGCTTTTGATGTAGATCCATTTGGAAAAGACCAACCAGACCTGCTACAGAATTCAGTGTAACCCTGAAAACCACAGGGGCAAGGCCATTGATGTGGACAAGGGGCCTGGGTGGGGTAGTGATCAGAGCTGCCACAGAGAAAACAGCCTCTCCTAAACCCAGCAGCCCAGCCTTCCAAACTGGCAGGACACAAGGTGCTTGCACATTTTCTCCATCTGGGTCAGCTGTTTTCAACCCCTCTGCTAGAGATGTCTGCTGATTGGATGAATGTGATGAGTGCTTGCGATGTGCCAGGCACTGTGGTGAGGGCTGCAGGTATTACACAACCAATGCTCTACTCTCAGGGAATGTACAGTCTGGTGGAGCAAGTCAGGTATAAATCAAATAATCACACATCAAAGTACAGCAAAAGCAATGATAAGCCCTAGAGGTCATATTTGGGCAGGGAGGTGGGTCATGGAAAGCTACCCCAGAGCTTTGCTTCTGGAGCTGAAGGCATATGGTGAGCAGGTTTACCTGTGACCCCTTGGTTAGCCTCCATGCAGACCTGCTCAGCCCCTGATGCTGTGCTGGGACAGGGAAGGGCCGCCTCAGCTTGAGGCTCTCTGTATCTCCCACTCTTTTGTTGGTGAGGGCCTGAGTTACAGTTATTATACCCATGTCTTTTAGAAACGCCGTAAAGTTCTTTTTTTTTTTTTTTTTTTAAAGAGGATTCGCTTATTTTACTACAAAAAAAAAATGATGTTTTAAGCTCAGGGCTTTAATATATGGCCAAAAATAAGTTAAGGCAAGTTTGGGGTTATTTTAGATGTTTAGTTTCCCAGTGTCTTCAACAGGAAAACTTTTTCTTGTTGCTATTGTTTTGAATTTCTCCTCGGCCTGTTTTACATCTGTGCATTTTCTTACAAACTCTATTTAATTCATTGAGCAAAGCTTTAGAGAACGGCATCTCCATTATATAATGTTCTTGGATGAGGGCGAGTGGGAGGGAGAAGGGCCTCTGGAGGGAGGATGACAGATGGGGCGTCGGAGAGAGCCACTTCCAACATCCTGGCTTCCAGCCCCACTGTCTCCCTCACCGGCCAAATAGCAGCGATAGAGCTCAGAACCCAGGAGGAAGAGATGGAGTGCTCTGCAGATGTCCCAGGAAGCTCTTGAAAGTGCTTCTGACCCATATTGTCTTCAAAACAGTCGTAGGAAGGATGGAGAAGCCTGGCCTAGTGGTAGCTCTCAGGAAAGTCATTGTTGGAATTCATGTGTCTGTGTGGGGCCAACTGTGAGTTGAGTGTGACTTCTTTGAGTAGGATGGACCTTTTTCCCTTCGCTAAAAGGAGACTCAGTTCCCCATTCTCTACTACGCAGTTACCTGACTGACATCGATCGCATCGCCATGCAGTCATTCGTACCCACTCAGCAAGACGTGCTTCGTGTCCGAGTGCCCACCACCGGCATCACTGAGTATCCGTTTGACTTGGAAAACATCATCTTCCGGTAAGTCTGTCTCCCTGGTGTTCCATGAAGAATCTGCCCAGGATTGGAAGTCCCCAGGTGCATTCTTAAACATGTTATTCTTAAGCAGGGATTATATCTCTTAGAATAGAGTGATGTTCTCTGCCACAGGATATTTACAATTATGGTAGGTCTCAACCCTAGAATGGAGAGGAAGCCACCTTCCTATTACCCTTGGAGAAGAAGGGTTTCCTTACTGGAAACTGGAATGATTCTTATGTGTAACTAACACACACACACACACACACACACACACAGACACACACACAGAGCATACTTCTGTATCCCACAAATTGAATATAATGATTATCGATGACTTTTCCCTAAAGTTGAATAATGTTCTTTTCTCCTCTGTTTCCTTCTCCAAGATTTATCCTTAAAAAAGAAAACTAAGAATTAACACAAAAATGTGTATTAAAACTGTGAAGAGCAATATATACAAACTAACAGCTGTGTAAAAATGTATGCATTTCCCCTTACAAATAGAGGAAATACTTTTAGGATGCCTTAAGTGACCCTTCTCTGCATTTAGTTAGGGTAAAAAATGAATAACAATACAGGGCATATATGAAGCACCGCACATTTCGAAGCACTGTTACATCCGTTATTTCCCTCGTTCCTCCTAACAATTCTTACACACGATTTTCCAGTTGAGACAACAGACCAGTCCCCACACATCCAAGCCCTGTCTGATCCCAGTTCCAGCTCAGTGCTTCTCTATCCAGAATTGCTGGGTTTGGGGCACCCTTGGGTCCAGCCCCTCAGTAGGTACCTCCATCTGTGTTAGCATATCCCTGATTTTAATAGTAGCCCCCTGTGCCTATGTGCTTGTGAATTCTTTTCACAATTAACTGCTTTTTGCAATGTCCAAAACCTCTGAGAGTCTCCCAAGGGTTTTGTTTTGTTTTTAAAAATGCTTTCATTTCTTCTAAGTTTATCCTTCTTGGACTGTGATGAATGGGTTTTGCATTACTTTCTAGACTTTGGTGAATGGGTTTGACATCATCACCAGGGAAGTCTATTACTGCGACTTGGAGCACCTCTCCCGGGGGAGACTTCCCCTGAAAAATTCCGATCTTTGAAATTGAGGCCTTTATAGAATGGCTTCTTCAAGCTCAACCTTTTGACAATTGCAGTGTCCCTTTTCCACATCAGTTCCCTGCTGTGAGGTGGGGTAGCCAGCCATCAACACACGTCACTGTGGGAGTGGCTGCACCTCCAGACAGGACAGGATTGAATTCTTTGTTTTCTTTCCTGCACTTTTCTGGACAACGGTTCTGGGTGGTTGGCCTGTGGGCTGCCTCACCACATTGCCCCAGTGTCTTCAGGGACGGGTGTGTGTGTGTGTGTGTGTGTGTGTGTGTGTGTGTGTGTGTGTGGGGTGGTGAGGGAGGGGTGGGTGGGGGTGACTTGGCAGCTGTATCTGGTCCATTATGTATTTTCTTTGGTGTTATTAAAAACATCTTTTTGAGCTAACTTGTTTAAAAGTTGGGATGTTTCACTTAACACATTGGATACCTCGTTTCTCCTGAAAGGGCAGAGGCTGTGGTCATGGTGAGCCTGTGCTTTGTTCCGCAGAGCTTGGCTGCAGGTACGTGGCAGGCTTCCTCGTAGACAGGGCCCCTGGCTGTTGTGCGGTGTGTGCTTCTGTACTGTGGGGAGCTCACTTGACTCATTCCCTTAAACTGCCTGATTCCTGGACCATTGGAACTCGTGATCCCTGGGCTGGTAGTTGCTGAAATCTTTCCCAGAGACACAGGTAGATGCTTTCTGTACTGGACAGAGGACACTTGCAGGTTTTTATAGGGAACAAGAGGCGGCATCCAGGGACTGCAGAAAGGATTTATGGGTAAATTAGAGGAGCCAGGAAGACAGAAGAGGCTTGGGTCCTGAGGCCAGCCTGGGGGATCTGGAAGACAGGTGGCCAGTCTGTTCCTCGTGTCTGGTATCCAGGGCCTCTACAGTGGTTGTCACAGAACACAAGTAGATGTTTGCGTTTTCTGCCTGGATACCAATGTCCCCAAGCAGACTCCGAGTCACCTCTGCATGTCTTCAGAAACATCGTTTACGTTCTGTGACTTCTTTGCTAGGAAACAGCCAGTGGTCCCTCATTGCTTCAAGCAGCAGCATCAGACATTGGAAACTTAGGACCTCTTTCTCTCTCTGAAATTACTGGCGACCCCAAAGAGCACTGCTTTCCATGCTATAATAATTCATGTCTTTTCCCCAAAGTGTCATGTATTCCAGCCTTTGAGGGATCTGTGTTTCTGTACAACAGGATGGTGGACGTTGGTGGCCAACGATCTGAAAGGCGGAAATGGATTCACTGCTTTGAGAGTGTCACCTCCATAATTTTCTTGGTTGCTCTGAGCGAATATGACCAAGTCCTGGCTGAGTGTCACAATGAGGTACGCCGGGCGGGAAGTTTAGGTAGCTGTGGAAGCCAGAGCCTATCCTGTGTTTTTTCTTTTCTTTTCTTTTGAGATGGAGTCTTGCTCTGTAGCCCAGGCTGGAGTGCAGTGGTGTGATCTCGGCTCACTGCAACCTCCGCCTCCTGGGTCCAGTTCAAGCAATTCTCCTACCTCAGCCTCCCAAGTAGCTGGGATTACAGGCATAAGCCACCATGCCCAGCTAATTTTTTATTTTTTTTTTTAGTAGAGACGGGGTTTCACCATTGGCCAGTCTGGTCTTGAACTCCTGACCTCGTGATCTGCTTGCCTCGGCCTCAAAGTGCTGGGATTACAGGTGTGAGCCACTGCGCCCAGCCTCCTGTGGTTTTTAATAAGCCAACCAGGTCAGGAAATGGACCCTCATCATTAGGTTAAATGGTCTTGCTATTCAAAGTGTCATCTGTGGACAGAGGCACAGGCATCACCTGGATAGCTTGTTAGCAATGCAGTTTTAATCAACTCAGACTGATGACATAAGAATCTACATTTTAACAAGACCCCAGCTAATTCAAATACATATGAAATGTTGACAATCACTGGCTTGGAACTCGGGTTCTGAAACTTAAATGCACACTGGGATTCACCGAGGACTTAAAGAAAACCGGGTGCTTGAGTCCAATCTCAGAGATTCTGATTTAATTGGTGGTGAATGGGGCCTGAGTGGGCAGATGCTTAAAAAGCACCCAGGTGAATCTACTGTGCTGCTGAGGTTGGAAACTATTCAAAAGCCTAGGTTCTCATCCTTGGTAGCATAGCAGAATGCCTTGGTGAGCTTTTTAAAAATGCCATCTCTCAGCCGGGCACAGTGCCTCGTGCCTGTAACTGTAATCCCAGCACTTTGAGAGGCCAAGGCAGGTGAATCACGAGGTCAGGAGTTCGAGACCAGCCTGGCCAACATGGTGAAACCCCGCCTCTACTAAAAATATAAAATATTAGCTGGGCGTGGTGGCAGGCACCTGTAATCTCAGCTACTCGGGAGGCTGAGGCAGCAGAATCACTTGAACCTCGGAGGTGGAGGTTGCAGTGAGCTGAGATCACGCTGTTGTACTCCAGCCCAGGCAGCAGTGCGAGAATTCATCTCAAAAAAAAAAAATGCCATCTCTTGGACCCCACACTAGATTCCAATTGAGTAGGTTTAGGTTGAGGCTTCTTTTGTAAGCCCACCAGGGATTCTACTGCACAGCCCAAGCTGAGCAGCACCATCTCTAATACACTTTACCTGGGCACGGGCTTCCTAACCTCCATAGGCCCATGGGGCTCCCAAATTAGATCCCTAGCAGAACTGGGATGGGCAGTGCTGCTAGATGCTTGGAGCTGTTCTGGGGCTGCCTGGGATTGCATTTGCCTTCAGTTCCCCTGGGAGAGACTCCCTCAGGGCAGCTGGGATGGACCCAGCCTGGTCAGGCACGCAGTGTCCCCACAGTGCAGCCATAGCATGGCTGCGTCCAGTTCCATTAGTGGCAGCTGTCCTGAGAGTGAAGAGACCACCACAGCCACTTCTGCTCTGTCAGGTCGGGGTTAGTTACAGTGGAATACTCATGTCGTCCTCCTCATCCTTTCCCCTGAACTTGTATTAAGACCTCGTGACCTTTTAGAAAAATGTCTTTTGTTTCCAAGGTATGAAAGTAAATCAATAAAGGACTCAGTCCAGGATTAGCCAATAACTGTGAACAAATCGTATCTTATATTTCTTGAGAGCAGACTTTTCTCTGCGGAGCATAGCATATATTACCTAATTAGTGGAGGATTAACCCATTTAATTGTCATTGTGCAAAGAAGAGAAATCTTGGCTGCTGCCCAGCTCTCCCAATTGGAGATTTTTTTTTTTAAAGACAAGACATTCAGTTATCAATATAAAAAATTTGCTCCAAATTTGTTTCAGGAATTACTTGTGACGTTCCTCGGATTAGTCAGATGCACAAGGGACCAATATCTCAGCCCAAAGTGCTTAGAAATTAAACATTTTCTCCTGAAAATCGCAAAATATTTAGAGAAGAATGAAATGGCTGCCACTCCAGACTTTCCCCTTCTGGTTGTAGATAGTATTATATCTGTATACTGTCTGGGAATCTTTCACATACTGTGTTTCCTTGGAGATCATTATCAATAAGATCATATTTTCAAAGCTTCAATACATTCCACATCTTAATTCCCCCAGAGCGTACTGAGTGGCACAATGATCCTGGGTGTCTGGAAGTTGTGGGGAAAGAGTGATTTATGGCATGTCCCTCTTGAGTGTGTGTGCTGAGCTTGGATGTTTTCAGTCTGATCCCTTCCCTTCCTACAGGGAAGTTCTTATTTCTTTCCTCTTAGGAATACTTCAGAAAGAGCAGAATGCTATCTAGAACAATTATTGTCACAGATAAGATTTGTTTGTGCCCTGCCTGCTCTCAGTAAATTCGGAGCATTTAGTATCTTCTTGCCAATGTCCAGCGTTTAGAAATTATTACTGCCATTCTACATAATCTTTCCCAGATCCCACTGTTACACAGGTGTGGGAAAGTTATTTAAATATTCTGAACAGTAACAGTATGCTCACCCATCAAACTGGCCCCTGCTCTGCTTGTTAAGTCTGACGCAGAGTGGGTGGGTGCCCAGTAGCACTGGCTCCATCTCTGCCAGCGTCAGTGGCCTTGCTGGAAGAGCCTCGTCGCTTCACTGCTGAGGCCCGTCTGGAAGCCCATCAACAACTGAGATGGCCATGTCAGGTCTGGAGCTGGCACTTCCTGACTTAGTAATCCCGATCACGTGACACAGAAAACTTTTGTCAAATGTGGGTAGGAACATTCCTTCTCCAAGTTGCACCAAATCCTTCCTTATTTCCTTCCATGTGAGTTTTGGGCTGGAGAAGAGCTGGGATGCCCGAAGGGGACAGTTAGCAAGAGGCTTGGGCAGGGGCAAACAGAAGCAGGAGGCCTGGTGCCTGGGACCCCACATGCTCACCAGCTTCAGCAGACAGTGGCCCAGGGACTGCAGCAGGGCAAGGGAAGAGATGGATGGACTGGCAATGTGCCATGTTGTTTCCAAAATATTTTCTTTCTACTTCATCCTGAGTCCCTCGTGTTTCACTTAGAACCGCATGGAAGAGAGCAAAGCCTTATTTAAAACCATCATCACCTACCCCTGGTTTCTGAATTCATCTGTGATTTTATTCTTGAACAAGAAGGATCTTTTGGAAGAGAAAATCATGTATTCTCATCTAATTAGCTACTTCCCAGAATACACAGGTAAGTGTCTATGTTGCAGACAGTGTTTCTGTGTGGATCTTGTCCTCCTTCCGGGCATCAGTCCAGAGTTACCATGGCTCATAGGGGCCTCCCTGGTCTACCTGGAACAGTCTCTCCCGCCTTCCCACCTTCAAATGGAAGTGCTGGTTGCACCGTTGAGTGTTTTTTCACCACAGCAGCTCCACACAGGCCTCCCTCAATGCTTGGAATACCCTTGCCAACTCCTTTAGCCAACTCCATGTTGTTCTCTAAGACCCAGCATGGCCTCCCCTGCCCATCTGGTCTGCAGAAGGGGTGCCGGCTCCTTTTTGCTCCCTTGGCGGCCTGACCCCCGCTTGCTCTCCTTGCCACATCATCACACTATGTCATATCCTCTGCTCACTCAGCTCTCTCTCCAGTGGGCACTGTGAGGGCAGAAACTCTGCTTCATTTATCTGTGCATTCCTTGGACCAGTCAGAGCACCTGGTGCTTCTAGAGTGTAGGGTAGAGACACACGGTGGACTCTGAAGTTCTTTATACATAACCTGCCCAAGGCAGGAGAGTCTCATGCCCTGTTGCTAATTGTTTCTGGTACAGGAGGTCTTAAATATTAAGTCTGACAGTGATATTTAGTGGATTCATGTTTTAGCACTCTTCTTTCCCCTGTTATTAACCATATTGGTTGTGTAGTACAGCACCCTCAAGCTTAAAAATCAGCTGATAATGTTAGTTCCCGCATTCTTCCTTTTCTCGCTCCTAGACCACAGCTGTTTGTCCATATATGTTAGTAAGGATTACTTCTCTTCGAAAGTGGTCGAAATCAGACAAATTGGGTCACTATTTTTAAACAAATCACCATAAAGTATAAGTTTTAGAGACCAGAGGACATTTTAAAATACGACTATTTTATGGGTTCATGATGAGACACCATAAAAATAATGCTCCAGATAAACTGTTCCCTAGAAATAAGGTTGGATCAAAGCAGGATCTCAGATAAGAACAAGAGTACATTAAAAAACAGTTCTTGGGGCAGGGTGCAGTAATCATGCCTGTAATCCCAGCACTTTGGGAGGCCAAGGCAGGTGGATCACGTGAGGTCAGGAATTTGAGACCAGTCTGGACAACAGGGTGAAAACCTGTCTCTACTAAAAATGCAAAGATTAGCTGGGCATGGTGGTATGTACCTATAATTACCCAGCTACTTGGGAGGCTGAGTCAGGAGAATCGCTTGAAACCCAGAAGTGGAGGATGTAATGAGCCAATATCACGTCACTGCACTCCAGCCTGGGCTACAGAGCGAGACTCTGTCTCAAAATAAAAAAGAAAGGTACTTGGGAGGACATGGTGTTAAGTCTGTGTCTTTATTCCTCTCATTGCACTTGTGACTAGGACCGAAGCAGGATGTCAAAGCTGCCAGAGACTTTATCCTGAAACTTTACCAAGATCAGAATCCTGACAAACAGAAAGTCATCTACTCTCACTTCACATGTGCTACAGATACAGAGAATATTCGCTTTGTGTTTGCGGCTGTCAAAGACACAATTCTACAGCTGAACCTAAGGGAATTCAACCTGGTTTAAAAGCGGCTGCCCACCCCTCCCCCACAGCAGAAGACATGATTTTCAAACTCCTCGTTTGATTTGCAAGTGCTCTGACATCACCAAGCCAGCCCGTGCCAGGCAGTAAGGACGTCATGCAGGTTGTGGGGACAGAGATGGGTGATGAAACTTGGAAGATATTTGAGTTTATCAAAATACTTTAAAAATCCTTATGTCCCAAATTGTCTTTATAAGTATTTTCTGGACTTTTGGCTTTAAGATTTTGTGCAGTTTTCAAATTTGGTGTTTTCTAGAATTTTTAAAGACCACTCTGATTTAGTTTTAAATTTTAAATGTTTAAAAATAGCTATTAAAATTATGTAAGCAAGGAGCCTGTTAGTTTATAGATTATGCCTTGAAACCTCTGGAGTTGATTTGGGTGACTTTTTAAAAATAAGAAGGTTAATGCGTTTGAAGCTTTTAATTAACTCTTGTAATTTAGAGACATTTTTGTTTCTCACCTAATGCTGAAGTGTGACTCCTTTAACATGCCACCAAAGATTTTTTAAAAAACAGTTCGTTCTCTTTGTGTGTGAACTCTCTAAGTCAGATGGATATATAACTATATCTAATTTAACTTTGCCACAATTTGATCACCATGAAGGCAAAGCTGACATGTAGTAAATGGGCTCTAAATAGCATATATGTTGTACTGGTGAAAAGTGTGTATATGTGTGCGTGTATATATACATTTTTATTCCCAATGTATATGACCAGGTCTTGTAAACGTATGCAATGGCTAAAAGTCCACACTGTTTGACAAATGTTGTGTGATCCTACCGAAGTTCTAATGGCCATCACAGATTTGCTGTTTGAATTATGTATGCTGTGCCTTTCTGAGGAGGCTAAGAATATACCATTCTGCTATTGGCACTGGGTTATGTTGTGTTTCTTAGAGCTCATGGTTGACTGATGGTTCTGATCCTAAACAGAAAAATGCTGTGGACTTAACAGTAACTCAGAAACTTTCCTAAGATTCCTCCTTTCAAGGCAAGTCTGTGTGCCTCATCATGTCGTGCTGCAGTTCCCTCGGTAGCTGGCTGAGTCAGGCAGGAGAATCCTCTGAGAAGTAAGAGTGCTCCACACTAAAGGCCCCAGACGGTTCTGTGCGCACGTGTGCATGCACGCACGCACACACACACCATGTGGGGATGTAAGGTGTGAAATGTCTACCTCAGATCAGTCTATAAAGTGCACCTTGGTTTGCTACATATGTTATGGAACCATATGTCCCCATTCTGTGGGAACAACTCCAAGTGCTGAAAAAGACTGAAATTATTCTGATATGTAGTGATTCTATAATAGCAACATTAAGCTTTAAAAAAAAAAATGAATCCTCACTCAGGAGACCAATGCAATAGCAACAGTTTTGTGGAAGTTTACAAAGTAATGTTACATTTATCTAGAACAATAAAGGTCCAGAAACAGTCGAGACCATTTTGCACACGAGAACAGAGAGAGGGGAGCAGAGCCCTTTGGGATATCTGGAAACACAAACAAAATACAAGACAATTCCCCTCCCACCCACGGTGGGCTAAAGGCTATGGACTGGGTTTCACTGGCCAATTAACATAAAAAGAGTTCAACGGAATCCAGTAAGTAGAGAAATTAATGAAGAATGCCATTTCTTATTTCAAGCACTTTCTAGCATTGAGTTTGTGTTCACTTATCATTGGCTGACCACTTAAAGCATACAAGAAAATGATGGCTTTCCATACTCAAGTTGTAAGAGGGCTGTTAAGTAAGTCATCCAAAGGGTGGTAACAATATTTTCTTAAGGCGCGGAAAGGCAAGACTCTTTCAATATCGGGGTGAATTAATTACCACTGCCAATACTGATTCTGCTGGTAGAAAATTCTCTCTTAGTCCTTCATTCAGGATACACTCATTACTTACTGGGGAAATAAGTCATGTGAAGTTTTCTGAGGTTAAGAGGCAGAATGTCAGTGGTTAAGAATTCACTAGGTACTATACCACCACTAGCTTTTAGTCAGCAGTGATCGTGCTGGGCTGGGATGTCGCCCAGGGCCTCGGGCAATCTGTTAGTTATTCACATTTATTTAAGCCCCAAAGAAGGCAGAATTTATATAGGCAAGGGAAGGCTATTAATAATGTTTCTAGTTCTATCAAAAAACTAAAAACAGAAGCAGACCAAAGATCAGAAATCTTTATTGACAAAGGTATACATGGTGAAAATATATAATCTTACCATGCAATCCAAATCTACCATTACCAAGAAACGATTATTAAGAAAAAAAGTCATTAGTGAGCATGGCCAACCAATTTTTAGAGAGAGGAAAAAAGACTAAGATTAGTTTCCAAAAGGAAAAACTTCACTGTAAACATCTGTGTTTATAAATTATCTTAGAATACACAAAACCAAGGCAGAGACTGTGTAACAGGCAACTGAGCCAAGCACACATAAAAGAGAAATGAGGAACAGAAAAGTGTGGGAAATCCTGCAGCGATGCGGCAATAGATATGTTTAAAACTATCATAATCAACGACCATATTTCCATCAAAGAATAAGCATTCCAAAGCAGCACAGGCTATTTGATCAATTAAAACTAGCAAGAGAAAGTATTTTTAAAGTGCAACTTTACTGAAAAATTCATTTTTATATGTAATACACACATACAGAGATAATCACTTTAAAAGTCTGTAACAATCTAACCTCGTAAGAAGTCCCAGACACCACTCCTACTAGTTTGTGAGTGTGGCTATTAAATCACTGCTATTGAAAATATTTCAATGTAATCTATGCTATATTTTTACTTGAATGTTTTTCAGCTTAAGAACTGGGAACTTTTGGGTAAGGAACTGAACACCGGAGGTATGAGGGCATAACAAGAAATGTTGGGATTTTCCAACATGTTCTACTTTGATGACACTTCTGGTCATTAGGTAAGTCATTATACCAGTCTCAGGGTTTCTTGTTACAAGGACGTCATTAGAAGGAACACATTAAGGCAGCAGAGTAACGCTAAATGAATAGTTCAGTGACAGGGATTTTCTATCATAGTTTGATATCTATCATCATAGCAGGTGTTAAACTGTAATATAAATTAATTTGTATTTGTATAAAGTAATAAAAACTTTAGAAATATACCCACATCAACCTAAAAAATTGAAGTTATATTTCTTGTATAGCGTTTTGGGTAACCAAAATTTTTTTTTCAAAATGTCATAATGCTTTAAAAAAAATAATCTGTAATTCTAAAGTAAAAAAATTTTTTAATGGCATGGAAAATTTACCTTACAAAAGAGGAAATATAAAGTAGAAAAAGGCTTCAATAAAAGAAACATGAATGAGGTTTGTAATGGAGTAGGATTCTGCATCTTCTCAATGTGCTGGCCTTGCTTTTCGGATGTGCTGAAACAAATACTGCTTAAGACCAATCGTGACAGTGGGAAAAAAGTTTTGCTCTAACAGTCATATTGGCCAATAACTGACAATACAGATGACAAGACTCAAACTTTTAACTGACTAATCCTAGCTTGATTAGATTGCCATTAACAATAAGGTATAACTTCCAAAGTGTATTTCGAAGGACTAAGCAGGAGGGTGAATGGGTTTACTTTCAGAGTTGAGCTATACTGAACAGCACCAAAGAAAATCAGATTGACCAAGTCTGTATTCAGTCCTGCATATGGAATGTAAGTTACCTGCATTTTCTACTTGGATCTTAAAGAAATGAGAACTTCACTGTTTTTAGTAAAAAGGCATTGATATTTATGTATCAATCCCTGCCGCCAAGAGAATGAATATTTTGGCCCTACCAGAATGTGCCGTACATATCAGCTCCCTGTTTTTAAAGGCCTTTGCCACCGTTATGGTGAATTGGCTCAAAGGTAGATAGTTGAAATTCAATTGACTCAAAAGGAAAATATCTGTCTCCAATTCTATTATGGTAAAATGCTTAGTGGTAAAGAGGTTGAAATACCTCCAAGTAAACAACAGACTGTGGTCTTTTTTAGGGTGCTGTTTGTGGATCTAACTTTTCTATGCTTTTTCTGGTTCCACTGAATCATAGGAGGGTACCTGATACACAGCAGAGAAGAAAAGTATTTTGGAAAGCAAACAAGGGTGATTCCATCTTCTCACTCAAAAGAAAAAGTGCTAACCATCTCTAGACTTCCTGAGTTGTGGATCTGCTGCTCCTCATTTAAGGCCAGGTGCCATACAATCCAGACTCTTCCAACAATCACTGGATGGCCCCTGCCTCCTACAGCAGTTTTTCAAGCTTTCTTTTTTAAAACTGCATTTCATAATAGGAAACACTTTATATTGTGACCCAGTATGCATAGTAAATAGAATATTTAGCTGTTATTTCAGGAACCAATACTTAATCATTTTACATGCGCTATCTATTGTTCCTCTATTTTCTTTTGTATTTCACTTGTGAAATATACTGGTCTGGACCTGTTAAGTTGATTTCATGACCCACTAATGAGTTAGGACTTACAGAGTGGAAAAACAGCATCCCTGAGGATTTGGGTTGATCCTGACAAAAGGTAAAAAGCAATAGCCCTGGAACACAAAAAGATTTCTTTGAACTGTGTTGGCTCAGCCATGAAAGCATCCATGGTCAATGTATTTGGCACGCACTTTGAGCTTCTACAGGCAAACTAATCAAGTATTTTGTCAGTCTTTTTAATACAGGGGCCTATGTGAAGGGAGTACCTGGCATAGCCTGAAGAATCAACTAATACTGGCAAGTGATAACTGAATAAATTAGGGGCAGGAACGTCAGCACTGTGTAGAGTCCTTCTAATTTAATCTGACTTTTTACCAGACAGCAATGTGATGCTGCTTTGTGGGATGTTTGTATGAGATGAGCTAGGTGCATAGATACTCACTGGAACAATACTACTGCTATTACTATCAGAAGAAATGAGAGAGATAATTATGATAGAAAAGATCAGGTAAGTCTAAAAAACCTTTATTTGAGGGCCACAGGATAGTTGCCTCTAAATGGATTAGGATTGTAGAGGAGAGGGGTAGGTAAGACCTACCTACAAGTGGTCATGATTATTTAGGGTCCAGATAACAACTCAAGCTACACTAAACAGACATTAGGACTTTTGAGAACACTAGAGAAAAAGCAGTAAATATATACACTCTAAAAGGGAAGACAATGGAGTAGTGCATATGCCTTGGTTCAGAGAGTATTTTGTAAATGTGAAGAAATCATAAGCTTCTTTTTGTACCAGAAATCAAAGTCACTCTTTCTAATGATTAAGGTGTTCTGGTGGAGAGTTGGCAGGTAGCAAACACTCTGCCTTGGTCCTCACACAATTATCATCATAGATCAGAAGACATGCTGTGCTGGACTTAAGTGCCCAGTAGTAGAGTTAGCAAATAATACACGGAAGGGGCACAAGACCCAGCACCTCGTTCCATAACCACTACCAAACAATGGAGAAAGCTTAAATTTCTCCAGCAGAAATCCACTTATTGTAGCTACAATGTAATTTAGGGCAGATGGTTTTCAAATACAAGAAGATTCTGTATTCTAACCTTCATGAAAAATGGACTATAGAATCAAACAAATAACTGTAAATTGTAAAATGTGATGCTAAAAACACTGACTTGTTATTAGTGATCTACTGATGTTCTTATGTTTTTGTTTGTTTAAATGAAGACAATATTCTAAAACACATGGTATCGATGTAGCTCTTGAAACTGTGGTTACCTCTAGTCTAGAGACAAGGAAGTGATGGGAGGAGGTGACGGGTAAATGA